TCGTAACAATACTTTATTAAGCTATCTTTGACCAATGCTATTTTTAGTGAAAAAAACTTTTTCATAATATTCACGATATATCGCAATTATACGTAATTTACAAAACGAAATTTTCGCACATTGGACCTTGTAAAATATAATTTTTTTAAATGTTAGTGAAAACTACGCTAGCACTTCTTATTAGTTTTGTGGTGAATACTAACACTTTACATTTCATTTTAGTTACGCCTGACTACTTTATTTCTCACGTGTACGAAACAGTATTAGAAATACAAATTTTATTAATTGTGACGAGTCAAAATATTAGCAAATAGCTTTTAAATACAGACATTTTTTTTAACTTTTATGTAAAAAATGAACAACAAACTTACTTTTGTGTCTACTATTTTTTATTAATATAATGGTATCCTGCACTCACACGGCGAAGGAAATAGATTGAAGTATATGAAGTAAACGCGATGGGTAGGTAAAGGCGGAAAAACATAAAGGACAAAATTATACTCCACACACACAAAAGACTTTAGATATTGAGGCAGAAATATAAAAGGACAAACAAACTAGAATTGAAAGATATATAATAGATGAGATTGAGTTTGATGCTTTTTTGTGTTTGTTAGTATACAGTGCAGCTTACAATGACGAATGACGAAGATATGAATGCCTTATTTCTACTGATGGTACTGGTAGAGACATTTTTAGAGCAGTAATGTCTAAGGAAAGGTTTCAAATGATTTTGATCGCTCTTCGGTTTGATGATTTTTCTACTAGATAAGAAAGGAAATTGGCTAATGTGGCTGCTGTTGTATCCGAAATATTTGAGAAATTTGTTTCCAACTGTCAAAAATATTACAGGCTGGGTGACAACACAACAATTGACGAAATGCTTGTATCTTTTAGAGGGAGATGTCGGTGGAAGAAGTATATGCCAAACAAACCGTGTAAATACGGTTTAGAGATAAAGTGTTTGACTGACGGAAGAACAGGATAGTTGTATAATGTTTACTTATATACTGGAAAGAACAGTGATGGCTTGGGTCTCTCTCAAATGAAAAGAAATTGCTTTTACTATCTCAATGTGTTCTACGTTTATCAAAGCTGATCCAGAATACCAATTTGCGGATAACTATTTTTCGTCTATTGAGGTTTGTGATGGACTGAAAAAAGGGCGGGATGACTTACGTCGGTACTGTAAAAAAAAAAGAGAAATCCCTCCGGAATTTCTTCAAAAGAATCGCACTGTCAAGTCAACCATGTACGGATTTAGTAAGGATATAACTTTACTATCGTATGTACCTAAAAGAAACAAAACGGTAATCATGGAGTCTACTATGCATCATGATCAAGCAATGGATACTCAAAATGAAATTCCGGAGATAATTTTAATTTTACAATTTCTCAAAAGGCGGCGTAGATTCGTTAGATGAAAAATGCGCTAATAATCTTGTTCCATGCACACCAAACGTTGGCCAATGGTAATATTTTATAGAATAGTAGATGTACTTGCAGTAAATGCTTTCATTTTGTTAAACTATAGAAAAGAAGACCGATTGATTTTCATGAAAAACGTAGGTAAAAGTTTAGTTCGTCGGCATCTCGAAAGACGCATAGTAATTCCACAACTTTCCTTGGAACTTCGAGGGCTCCTCACTCGCATTCTCGGTACAGCTGCAACACCTCGAACGGAGGAAGAATCTGAAAATTACCGCCTCAACGTCCGTAAGAACTGTCATTTATGTTACAAACAAAAAGCATAGAAAAATCGTAATCTTAAACCTTGTTAATAAACGTAATTTTTTTTATTAAAGAATATTAACTATATATTTAGATATTATCAGTTTTGTGATCATTTTAGACTGATAAATTAAGTTTTTGAGCCTTTAGAAATAAGGCTTATTTTGTTTTAGTTGATTTTTTCGTAGTTTACTAAGTTGAAATATAAATAAATATTTTTAGTACCAATGTCGTTTTTTTTATATGATGGATACCATATATGCTAAAATAACGGTAAATAATAAAGCGAGTATGGTACTTTAAGTAATTTTTGTCTAAAGACTATTTTAAAAAAGCAGTTCAGTTTTAATGAATGTAAATACACGTCAGTGGTTAAGGGTTAAGGAGATCTCACAAAATTACAAGAAATTAATTCCCTTTGAAGGAGTCTAAAAATTAACACACTCGTAGCAGTCTTGTTTAACTACTTTATACGTTTTACACGTATATATATATATATATATATATATATATATATATATATATATATATATATAACACGCATAAATTTTTTCAGAACAATGTGTCTTTTAGCGAGACTTTAAATTACTAACTTTTTAAGTTTATGAGTGACCTAATTGTTAAGACCCATTTCGGTATGCGAGATCGACTGGGTAAGCATCCTCTTATCTAGTACTTGTAGAAATAAAGGCTGTAATGGCATTTTCGATCAGTCTGTAGAGGTGACAACTTACAGCCTTGTTTAGGTGAACTGTAAATTCCTTGGATACTTCAGTCGTTTATTTGTTGTATCGTTCTTATAAATAGTATTTTAAAAAAGAATCGGTCTGAGTACTCTTATCTATGGTTCTGAGTAAACATAGTGATTATATTATACTCTTTGGTTCTAAGGGGTCCCTTCTAAATATTACTATACTCTTTGATGGCTACTACAAAAGTGACAATCGATTGTCCAATCGGAGAGTTCGGGAGGTTAATATACGCGTTAAAATCCGTATAAACTAGTTTTACCTAAATTATATAATGTGGCATATTTAGTATACATTTAATATAGAAGCTTTTATTTGTTTCTTTTCTGGAAAAATGGGGAATTTTTTTTATTTTTTTACTTTTTTTTTTTTTTTTTTTTTTTTTTTTTTTTTTTTTCTCTTGCTTTTTTTTTTTGGCGTGTGCTCGTTTGCTTTTAAGTGAAGGTTAGTAGTACACAGCATGCAGGAGGCGTAAGAGTTTCATACATGTTGCTATAATTAAATCGACAGTAAATATATGTATGGATGGAAGACGTTTCAATTATAGTAGTGGCAATATTTCAGGAGAGCTGTTTAAAATTTAACAAATTACCATAGAGCTTTGTGAATTATATAAGTTATATAACTAATTATTTTTAAAGAAATGTTCCCATCTACGAAAATATACAGGGAAAATCTGAAACATAAAAAATACTATCACCTAATAGTTTATTACAAATTTATAAGTACTAGTAAAATTTATTTATACCCTTCTACATATACTCTTTTTGTCATTTTTAGAGTTAATCAACACCAAGTTCAATATTATACGTATTTTGTAGTATATGTAGTATACATATAACGTAACGTAAAATCCGCCGCAGGATGTTTTCGTTCTGTGATCGCCACTTGTACAATCTAGCTGCATTTTTAAATGCTAATGCTAATCCAAGCTACGACAGTTATCTTGCAACTATCTGGCGCACATCCTTGTCAGCCACTATCCTGATTGGAAATGGAAAACAACTTCGCTTCGCACGGGTGAGGGAAATCTTTGTTAATTTGTTTTCTTAACAATGTTCTACTCTTTATTTTAATTGTTGACTTTTGATGAATCTAATTTAAAGGATATTAAATGTGTAGTGGCGATGCATGAATATCCACTGCTCTTTATCACAACGTAGGTGTGATAAGTGGCGATAGAGAGAAACTGAACCAGTATATGGGCAGCAGCATAACAGAGGCCTCCAGTTCAAATTTCGGTAACGGTGGTCAGTCTCAACGGAGACTAGCTAGACGCAGATGGAGCGCAAGACAGGATTATAGTGTCCAAGTGTATGTGCAAGCACAGGAATACTCTCTATTCTGCCAAAGGAGGCAGAGAGGCAGCAGCATTTTCCTGATAAAAGCTAAATAAAAATATAAACAGCAGTTAGATACCCACCCGCTTGTTAAGCGTGACAACTTTGGCGAAAACATTGGGTATGAAGCAATCTACGGTATATTTGCTACGGTAAGTGGTAGAGCCATGCTGCAGCTATACTATGGTTGTAGCATGAATGGGTCAGCTCAACCGGGGAATGGCCACTGTTTCACAGAATACCAGTGTAAAATAGCAGCTTAATACTTCTGTGTATCGTATGGTGAGTGTAGAGATCTGGAGAACTTTTTTTACTGGAAATGAAACATTCCATCTTAGTCCTCAGGGGTGGCAACGCATGTGCGTTTTTATTCGTAATCGAGGATAAATGTAGATGTCTACTTGCCACAGCATCAACTAACCATCAGGTGGATTGGTGTTCGTTTGTCGCCTTTATTCTTAAAAAAGCCTATATTCAGCAGAGGAATTTTTAAAAATTGTGATGGTATTGGTAATTTAACGGATTTGTTATGTTTTTTTTTTTTACTGATTATTAAATTAATTCACTCATTTCAAACCGTGTAGTGAGCGAATTCAAAAGTTTCGTGTCGTTGACCACCCCATCGCCCGCTGACGTAACGTTTAGGTGACAAAACTGCTACGTCAGCGCAATCAGTCAGCACCTTGCCAAGAGGTGTTAGTGCCATGCCTCGGCAAAAATATAAGGTGCAAAAGCCCGCTTGGGCACATGGCCCCACCATGAAATGGCGCCAGGTCAGGGCGTCTTCTATATAATGACGACCACTAAAATGGATGATGGAATTTTATGGAACGCGCAAAGGGCCGCTGCCTGGAGGTCGCCAGGGCGTGTCTGGAGCTGACGCTGGACGCGACAGCGCAAAGTGCTGCACGACCACCAAACAGTCCCTTGCATCCATCACCCCTACCAGCTGGCTTGGTTCGGCACCCGCCACCGGTGGAGTACGCCGCATGAGATGGACAATCAAAATGAATACCAACAAATTGCGGGCGTATTTTAAGGCGAAAGGGGAAAAAGTTGGAGGTTTTACGTATCGGGCTAGGATGCATCGTCTTTTTTGCTGAGTTGAAGCCATCTATAAACGTCACAGAGCAAAAGTTGGCAGACCGAGTTCGGTATATCTTGCGCTCAAATATATTTCATGTCGCAGAACTCGAACGGCTACAACGTTCCCTTATCGGATGAAAATGCTACGGCTGAGGATGTGGCGCCACAACTTTCAGAGCAACCCGCAAACGTGGATGCCGCCATGAATACCCCAATTGGGGTTGATTCAAACGATGATGTAACAGTCGCCCAGGAACTGGAATTAGAGAATATGAGGAGTACATCGGTAGAGGTGATTGTAGAAACGCGCGCTTTTCAAAAATCGACCGCAACTTCCCATAGTCTTAAGCAAGCGGAAGCGGGCTGACGTGAGGGGGCTCTGAACCTGCTGGTGACCTATTTGTAAGCTTCCTTCTTATCCTCCAGGCTGGGACATCGCTACTGGACAAAGTAGCGCTATCCCAGCCTGGACAGCAAGAATTGAATAATAAATATCTCAAGGGCTAGGACTCTTATCGGCAGACTGATATGCTACAGGCTAGGAAATAACAGGCCAAGGATTGTGCATACCGTCAGTATGGCGTTTGCTGGGACAAACTAATCCCAGCCGTGTGCTGGATATAATGTAAAAACTGACGGAGTGCATAGACGACCTGAAGCAGAAAATCTTTGCTTGAGGAAAGCAGATTGAGCAATATACCGAGAGGTCGACACAGTTCAACCAGAGTCTATTCCAGAGTGATCAGAAGAGGCTTTATAAATCATTGGAGCGACCAATGGTAAGTGGAACGGGCCCAGCAGCGAATCAGGCCAACACTGTTGCATTCTGGCGCGGCCTGTGGTCGGAGTCCGTAAACCACAGCGAGGGTCCTTGTATGGAAATTGTGGCGAGTCAGTGTGCGAGTATTACGCCCATGGACCCCGTCATCGTAACGCTGGATGATGTAGCTGAGATGGTCCGTAGGGCCCCGAACTGTAAAAGTCCGGGAATCGATGGGCTGGATCGCTACTGGCTGAAGAGGTTCGTGGTGTATCACGCTGTGGTCGCCTGACAGTTTCAAGACGATCTCAACCAGAAGTCGCTCCCTAGCCTCTTCACTACCGGGATCACTTATTTGGTTCCTAAAGACCAGGTTACCACAGACATGAGCAAATATTGCCCTATCACCTGTCTACCGACCATATACAAGACACCAACATCCATTTTGAGCGCGAGAATCACTCGTCACCTGGACTCAAATCTGGTGATATTACACGCTCAGAGTAGATGTCGGGGTTGTGGTCGTGGAACCAAGGAACCACTCCTCATTGACGCGGTCATTGGCAAAGTGGTGAAACGCAACCGTCGGGACTTCTCTGCCGCCTGAATATTCGACTCGGTGCCCCTTACTTGGCTAAAGAGGGTCTTCGAGCTGTAAAAGATTGATTGTACCGTTAGAGACTTCCTTAAGCAGTGTATGGGGCAAGGGAGTAAAATTTTTTTCATCTGGGCGAGCGGCATCTTGTTGAATTGCTAAACATCACTTTTGATTTTAGCAATTCTATTAGAATGGAGCTGGAAACGGATGAGCGTGCGGTCCTCAATGTTCAACGGTAAAGAGTTGCTAACTCTGAGGGCATAGATTTATCTATGTCCGTCAACTTAAGGACCCTTTCCGAGGCTGAAACATACCGATACTTGGGTATATCACAGAACATCGGTATCGATGAGCCTGGTATGAAACAGTCGGTGTTTGCTACGGCGCTGGTCTGACAAATGGCGAACGTTAGGAATAGTTTTGGTTATCACTAGAATCTTTATATGTTAATTGATAGAATCAGGCGTTACTTTGCGGAAATCCATTATAATAAAAAATAAAAGTATAAATTTCTTCGCAACCTTCCGCCAACGGAAGGTTGCGAAGAAATTTATACTTTTATTTTTTATCTTTATATGTGTTATAAATTAATTTTTTAATAAATATATATTATATCAATAATTATAATAAAATAATGAAAAATCATTATAAATAAAGAAAGTACTACATATAATATGTGCCTATATATTGAAGGTTTGTAACCGCTGGTTAATCGTCCGAAAGGTCATTGTCATATTCGCCATACTTCCCTCGGCTATACAGCTCACTACTATGCCCCTGTGCTAAGAAACCGTCATTATATCAACTATGTGATCAGGAAGAGCTTGAAGTTGGCTGCTTCTATATTATATTATTCTACAAATAAGGGTGATAGTTATAAATGTTAAAATATCATTCTTATCCTCTAAGTCATAAGGCGAAATACTTAATATAAATTAGCTTGCAGTTACTATTAATCTTATTAATTAACGCCAACGTTTAAAGCTATTGCCGATAATGGATCTCGTGCTTGGTTCTAAATTCTAAGACAAATTGCCTCGCGGCTTAATATCATCCTACGTCTACGTGATGTAATTAACGTAAGCCTTCTCCTACCTCTCCTATTTTAATGCAATTAAGAAAATAAAATCGGGAAGCGAAACTTGTTGAACTTTGTTTTGCTAGAATATTTTATGGAAGCATTGAGCATTAAATTCAATGTATTTTCGATGTATTGTTCTTGTTTTTGAGGAAGTTATTTGTTTCACTAGCGAATAGAATGAATTAGAATATTTTTTATTGAATTATTGATGAAGCCTTGTGGAGCTGAGTAACTAGTATCACTAGCTTGTGTTTGTTCCTTGGGCTTACAGAGTGCATATCACTGTATTATTAGTATCAATAATTCCCTTTATATTTTTGTGAATATACCTATGTACATGGTATTAAAATTGCTTATTTGTTAAATTTGTAAAAGTAGACTAGCTACACTGCTTTAAAAATGTATACCAGATCAAAATATGCTAGCTATTTCTCCAAATACTTACTTTTGATGAACTCTGCTACTTGCAGTAGCGTATCATTTTAAACTATTGCCTGCGGTCGCTAGTGGTAAAATGCTATCTCTCACCAAAAGTTTTGTGTACAAAAAAAAACCATTTGTATGGCCTACAAGTAAGTTTTCAGGGTCTAGATGTTCGTCCATGTACAATTTATCTATATTAACCTCTATGATACAGGGTAAAATCCTTCGGCACCGTTTGATTAATAAAGAAAAAGAACTCTGAACTTACTCAGAAATTAGTGAACGAGTTTAACAACTGTCGTTAAATCATAAATTCTCCTTCAAATTGCGCTAGTATAATTTCATAATATAAATTACAATGTCACCAAGATTACTATCTTTTTACGACCTGTTACGACAAATCGTAAAATGCAAATTTTAATTTACAGCTAGTTCAATGTGTGACGGCGAGGCCATAGAAGTCATTTCCCCATTTTCAAGAATATTTCATATAATACAAGCGTAATAAAGCAGCTTAATACTGTTGTGTTTCGTATAGTGAGTGTAGAGAACCGAAGACTCTTTTTACTGGAAATGAGGCATTCCATCTTAGTTCTCAGGGGTGACAACACATCTGCATTTTGATTCGTAATCGAGAATAGATGTAGATGTCTATGGCCCACAGCCACCACTTACCTTCAGGTGGACTGTGTGCCCGTTTGTCACCTTATCCATTAAAAAAAGTATCACGCATATCAGCTAAACGGTTTGCTTCTTCTTTCATAATGTGTACAGCAAAGGATTGTGTAAATTTGCCAACATCTGTCTTTCCTTTATAAGGTGTCTTCAAGACAAAAGTGAATAGGTTTTTGTTAAGCTAAGTCAGTGCGCTTGACTATCTTCAACTAATTCACCACTTACCGTCAAGATTGGATAGAAGTCAAGCACTGGCTTATAATAGAAAAAAAACGATAACTTATACCGAAAATGAAACAGATTTTATCCTTTTTTAAAGATACTAAAAATACTCAAACTCACTGCAACACAAAGCAATGTATCAGTTAATAATGTCTCGTAACACAACCGTAACATTTAAGGGCACGTGTGTGTCGAGAATTCCAGAATAGTAACGGAATACAGGTTTTTCGCTGGTTTATTATTTATTTTTCTTCTAGGCGGCATAAGTAAATCCGCTGTGCTATATCATAACGAGGGTGTAGTAAGAGAATACAAAGGGAAATAAAAAGACTGACAGAAGCATCTTCCTGATAATAATTTAAAATAAAAATAGCGGTTTCGCCGATTTGTGCTGCAGCTATAAGATTTTATTTTACCTAGACTGAAAATTTGTATTTTACTCGGAAGACCAATACAGAGATAGATCAGGTGCAGTACCAAAGGCTTTACGTGCTTTCAGAGCCACGGGGGTAAAACACCGCCAACTTCCTGACTCCAGGCTGCTACTGAGAATTTTTTGACAGAAAACCTTATAATTGTTTTTAATCCAGATCCAGTGTGGTTATCAATTCGGAGCTTCGAGATAGAAATTGTTGTTTCTTTCCGGCCAATTGCTTGCTTAATCGTGTTAATACGCCGTATTGTGTCTTTTTTGGTTCGATAATAACGGCAGTGACAGGTGGGGGGACTGTGGATACGATTCGCCCCGAGTAATAGATAGCCAGAGAAGCCAGAGAAACAGCCAGAGAATATTACATAAGTATCTGCAACAAATATACATTTTAATATGGCGAATCATTTTTATTTGTTTTTTGCTTTTATATCTATTTAAGCGCCTTAAAAATCCCATGCAGTCGCATGCGCCCGGCAAATCCCAAGCGGTCGCATGCGACCGCACCCGCCCACAGCACTTAAAACCATTAAAACTTATAATTAGAGACTACTTTTCTATGAAGAAGTTTAGCATTATAAAATTTATATAAAATTCTTTATCCTATCTAACACTGACTAAACAAAAGTCAGGTTTTACTTCCTTACAAAAAGATTTTATTGTATTTTGATAACAAAAAAAACATACCAAGCGAATGTCGGCAGCGTGAAAATCGCATTTGAAATAGTCAAAATTATTTATGTAGAAGATTAATTATATTCACACACAAAGACTTTCATTACAATTTTATAATAAAACATTACATTACAAACATATAAAACATAAGAAAAATCCAAAAATCAACACAATAACATTCACGCGAAAATGGCGTACGATATAAGCGTAGATTATAAATAAATATTCATATGATAATAGTTTTTATATTGCTCTATAGGATAGAATATTTCATATTGATTACATAATATTAAACTTCTTTATAGAAAAATAGTCTCTATATATAAGTTTTTATGGGTTAAAGTGCAGTGGGTTGGTGCGACTTCATGAGACCGCTGAGGAATAATACTAGTTTTTACGGAATTTATCGCGTGTATATAACTTTTTAATTACCCGACGTTTCGATCGCTTTACAGCACTCATGGTCACGGGCAGGACTGAGATGTTCAACGTCCATATGTCAT